AGTCCATATAGTTTTTATTTTTGTCAAGTAACAAAATGAGAAATTATATCTTGGCATTTAGCTGAAATAAAAAGGTTTTATGTTACAAAAATGTGTTTTTTAATAGTTTTAATGTTTGTTTTTTTTGTTTTGTCATGGTTTTAATTTCAGTTTTAGTTAACTATAATAACCTGTCTTAAATCATAAACAGTTCATTGCCAATTATGCCACTTGTACAAGTTTTGGTCCATAAAATATATAGAATTACTTTCTACCACTGAAGTATCTGCTGTGAGATGCCATCATCAGTTCAGAAACATTTGCTATCAAACATTAATAACACCTGAAACATCTGTCAGAATCCAGTATTAAACAGTGATATAATAATAGTGCTTTCATTCATCACAGCTCATCTGCAAACTCAAGACCCACAATGCTTTACGATTTCAGCACGAAATGCTGCTTTAGAACAATATCTATTAAACAAAACGTCATCAGGCATATCATCATTTCATTTAGAAAATATTCAATTTTTACACGTTAAAACGAATCCTCTAAATTAAAGCACTCATGCAACACAAGATGAAAGATCGGCACACGTTTAAATTTCTGAGATCAGCATTAAAACTCTTTGATCTAATGTGGAAATGTTGTACATACAGTATATAGGATGTTTTGACTGTAAATATGATGTTGTTATGACAATCTTCTATATGAACTCGTTTCATGTGCCTATACGTGACGTGTTTGTGCATCATTTGATGATGGAAAACTGATCAGAATCATAAATTCACTGCAGGCTTCTTACGGTGTTTTGTCAAAGTTGTTAAATATCTTGAGGATGTTCAGTATCCTACAAATGTACAGGAACACGTGAAGAATCACAGCACACCACTGTAAATACACAAAAATAAAATATCTAATCACGTACTTTTGCAGTGCCGTCTTTTTCTGTTACATAATATTATTGATTGATTGATTGATTGATTGATTGATTGTTGTTGGTGTTCCTGATCAAAAATGACTGTTTTCTTTTAGTTAGCTCAGGTTTTGTGCTTCTTTCTGGAGCTGCTTGATCGTAGGCTTCATTGATCTGAGCTCATGTTTGTTTATATAATATGCAGTAAGCCTAATGAATAAATAGAAAACATATTCTTAAATATGCCAATACAGCGATCATTAGTATCTTTATGAGCAGTCATCTCGATGGCAAAAAGTGTCCCGAAAGACCTGAATTTACCCTATTCACACATCTTTACTAATCATTTATTAATCATTCTTTCATGTTTTTGCAGTAGCCAATCTAAAGTGGAAACTATTCATCAATTGTAAATGTTTATAAACGATTACTAATCATTTTGTATCTTTATGGGCACTGGACTTATGTAGTAACAAGGTTTGTGTAAAGGGTGGCTGGTTAAGTTTCGCTAAAGACATCACAGATTGTACTTTTAGTGCAAAAAAGTTTTTTATTGCCTCAACACTCACATTAGTATACTACCCTTCAGTATATCATTAAAACAGGATATTCCTTGAATCATAAATTAATGGAAAAATAAATCATTTTTTAAAAGAAAATACTTACAACATAATATAAACAGATTGTACCGTGTTCCCTTATAATAATCAAACTGACCCCTGTACACTCTTGACCCTTTAACCAACCCTTAAACCAACCTATACCACCAAACCAGTCCCTAACCTACCCGTGTCACTCCTCAATAGCAGCAAAAGTGTTGTGCATTAACACAAGCGTTTCAAAAATCATTTGTAGATTTTCAATAAGTGCTTGATCATGTG